GATTCTTGTATGTACCCTAACCAGAGATTGAACCTGCAACATTAGCATATTGGAATCGATGATCTAACCAACTGATCTACCTGGCCCAGGCAAGGAATAAACTCTTAATATATACAACCACTTAGATGAAGTCCTAGATAATTATGCTGAGTGGAAAAAACCAGTGCCAAAAGACTACATACATACCCTTATGGTTTTACTTACATAACATTCTTGAAAGGTCAAAATTATAAAAAATGGAGAACATATTTGTGATTTCCAGGGGTTAAGGACATGGGGACAGGAGATGGGGAGTGGAAGTGGCTATAAAATGGCAACATGAGAGATTCTGGGGTGATAGAAAATTTTTGAATCTTGACTATCCAAAGCAATAGTGAAATAGTAATGTAATTTTGTAAGATGTTACCACTGGGTAACTTGGAGGGGAAAGGGTACGCGTGATCTCTCTGTGTTATTTCTTACAACCACATGCGTTTCGAAAATTATTTCGAATTTTTTAAAATTAATTTTATAAAAGGCCTAAAAAGTACATTTACTGACTGTGGTGGGGTGGTGTTCTTTTGCCCCTTAATTTAAGCAAGCAGGGGGCCAGTTAATTCTTGGACAGAAACCATGGCAAGCCAAGGGTGCCAAGGAGAGCCCTTTGGGTGATTTAGTGGATGGCATTCTTCCATTTGTGTCTTTATGGCCATGTGTGGCCTCGAGGAACAATCTGCCAAGCACAGTTCTCCCTCCATGTGCTGGCTAAAGCCCAGTGTGGTAATTACACATGGCCTCCCTCCAATTCCCTGCAGCTCTGACTTGATGAAGGCTACATGCTTTATAGCAGAGCTGTTTTAATTGTTTTCCCTGGATTACATAACACCTCTTTTCCTGATAATTGAGTACAAGCATTGTGCTAAATGCTTTACCTGAACTATCATAACTAGTCCTCACACTAGTCCTCGGAAGTAGATACAGTCAGTTCTCATTGTCGGCAGTAGTTCCATTCTATAAAGTTGGCACAAACACTGAATAGCAAACACCGAACCACTGCTTGTAAGGGAAATACAGGGTTGGGTTCCTGTGAGCCTCTGGTCACAACATTTTTTATCAACTGATCAGTACATCACCTTGTTTTATGTGTACGTTTTGTTTAAGGAGATCTTGATATACATTGTGATTCCTTAACATTGAACTCACAGCCCATAGCACTATAACTCATGCCAGAATGAAGCTTATATCATACTCATATCTTGCCCTAACCTCAGTGGATAGAGCGTCAGCCTGCGGACTGAAGAGTCCTTGGTTTCTATTCCAGTCAAGGGCATGTACCTTGGTTGCGGGCACATCCCCAGTAGGGGGTGTGCAGGAGGCAGCTTATTGATATTTCTTTCTCATCGATGTTTCTAACTATCCATTTCCCTTCCTCTCTGTAAAAAAAATCAATAAAATGAATATTTTTTAAAAAAAATACTCAGTTCTTCTCCATAAGGCACATCCCAGCCAACTTGTGCTTAGAAACACTAGACAGCTCTTCAGCGACATGAGTGGGGGCCATTATAAACAGTGAAATCACCAATAATAATCACAAAAAATGCAAAAGCACAGCACTAAATAAAACCCAAAAAGGGAAGTCATTTACAGTCTGGACAGAGCAGGAGGGAACCTGCACTCAAATTGTTTACCGCTTTGGGCTGCCTGCAAATGACCCGGAAAGCGCCATGAATATTGATCTGGGGGTTACAAATGTCACAAATAGATTTCAGCCAGTAGGCAAACTCACAAATAAGAAAACAACAAGTAATGAGGATTAAATGTACTCGTATTAATCCCCTTTGCAAGCCAGGAAAATGAGGAGGTTTAACAATTTCAATGCTTTAACAAACTTTACTGAGAACCAACTATGTTTCCAGAATTCTTCTAGGGCAGGTTTCTCACCTCAGCGCCATTGATACTGGTGTCCAGAAAATTCCCTATTGTGGAGGATTGTCTATTGTAGGGTGTAGAGCAGCATCTCTGGTCTCCACCCACTCCACGCCAGGATCACTGGCATCCTCAAGTCTTGATAACCAAAATGTCCCAGACATCACCAAATGTCCTGGGTGTGGGGAAGAGCAGAATTGCTTCCCAGTTATAAACACTGGTCTGGGAATTAGAGATTCAGTAATAACAAACTCCAACATCTATGATCTCAAGAAGCTTACATTATGGGGGACTGGAGAATGGGAATGTTTCCCGGCGAAAGAGTTTCAGTTTGAGAAGATGAAAAAGTCCGGGAGATGGATGATGGTGATAGCTGCACACTGTGAAATGTAATTAATGCCACTTAACCTTACACTTAAAATAATCAGAATGGTAGATTTTCTGTGATACATATTTTAACGCAATTTAAAATACAAACACCAAGCTTAGGTCTCAAGTTGGGCTACCGAGTGGCTGCTGCTGCAGCACCATGGACAGCTCCCAGCGCCCTCTCACGGGGGAGTGGCTGGGCTTCTCAAATAGCTCTGTCCAGAATGCCTTTCTCTCCCTTTCCATCCTTCTCACTCCTCCTCAGTCCTCAGGGTCTAACTCACATCTTCACGGCCCTGGGATATCTTCCCATGCACACCCTCCCCGCAAGGCCCTCTGCTTCCAAGATGTCTCTAAACTAGCCCAGATCCCTGTGCCCATCTGTTTCTCATAGTGGGAGTCCTAGGAAAGTAAAGTCTTTTTTTTTTTTAAATATATGTTATTGATTTTTTTAGAGATAGGAAGGGAGAGAGATAGAGAGTTAGAAATATCGATGAGAGAGAGACATCGATCAGCTGCCTCCTGCACACTCCCCACTGGAGATGTGCCCGCAACCAAGGTACATGCCCTTGACTGGAATCGAACCTGGGACCCTTCAGTTCACAGGCTGACGCCCTATCCACTGAGCCAAACCGGTTATGGCAGAAAGTAAAGTCTTATTTGTGTTTCGGACCCCAGTGCCCAGCACAGGACTGGTCTGAATTTCCTGCTCGGGTTACACAGGAATCTTTCCCAGAGCTCCACTTCCTCCAGCCAGGAGGTGCAAAGTCCAGATCTTGTGCTGCAGGCTCTGGGCTCCAATCCCTCTCTGCTGCGGGGCAGTTGCTTTATGCCTTTGGCTTGGAGTGGTTCATACCCTGATGCTGTGAGGGAGGCAGCCACACAATCGTGTTGTGTGGTACCCACGACGGGAACGAGCATTCATGTATCCTACCTACGTTTCCCAAACATCTCCTTTGTGTCAGATGCAGCTGCCCTCTACGGAGAACATTGCAGTGAACAAGACCCACTACGTCTAATTTGCCTTGAAATTTATAGTCTAATTAGGGAGGTCAGACAATAAACAAAGAAACAAGTAAATCATTTCAAGTAGTGGGAAGGGCCGTGGAAAAAAATCATCAGGTTTCTCAATGAGTCCATAGACACCCATGTGGACAGCAGTACTAGTCACAATAACCAAAAAAAGTGGAAACAACCCAAGTGTCCAACCACTGGTGAATGGATAAATACAACATGGTCCATCCACACACTGGAATATTACTCAGCCATGAACAGGAGTGAAGCTCTGACGCTCGGTACGTGTGGATGAAACTTGAAACCATGAAGCTCAGTGGGAGAAGCCAAACACAAAAGGCCACGTAGTGTGTGGTTCCATGTGTAGGATATGTTCAGAACAGGCAAAGCCACTACGACAGGAAGTGGATTCATGAGTGTCAGGGGCTGGGCTGGGCAGGGGGAATTGAGGGAGGGCTTAATGGGGATGGGATTTCCCTTTAGGGTGATGAAAAAGTTCTGGAACTAGATAGTGGGGATAGTTGCACAACAATGTGAATGTATTTAATGCCGCTGAACTGTGTACTTACTTGCAAATGGTTAAAGTGACAAATCTTATGTTATGTACCACATTGCACCACAATCTAAGTATATATATACTTTAAAAAATCAGACTGGACAATGGGATGTAGGGGGATGGAGTAGGAGGCAAGGTAGGGGGGTGATAAGGTAAGGCCTCTCTGAGGAGAATACTTCTGAGGTGACACCTGAATAATGTGAACTTTCAGGGGAAGAGCATTCCTGGCAGAGGGAACAGCATGTGCCAGGGCCCTGGGGTGGGAATAAACTTGATGTGTTCACAGAGCAGGCAAATACCATTGTGGTGATTAAGGGGCTGGAGAGAAGAATAAGCGTAAGTTCCTACCAGGTCTTACTTGGGGTCATATATTAACTGCCATAACAAGGTACTACAAACCAGATGGCTCAAAGCTATAGACGTTTCTTTTCGCACAGTTTTGGAGGACAGAAGTCCGAAGTCCAGGTGCTGGCAGGGCTGGCTCCTGCTGGAGGCTGTGAGGGCGAATCTATTCCAGGCCTCTCTCCCAGCCTCTGCAATTGTTGGTGTTCCTTGGCTTATAGATGCATCACCTGACCTCCGCCTCCCTTGTCACATGGTGTTCCCCTCTCACATGTCCCCTTCCCTTCTCCTCTCTCATAGACACTTGTCATCGGATTTAAGGCTCATCCTAAATCCAGGATGATCCTTAACTTACTTCCAGCTGCAAAGACTATTTTTTTCAAATAAGGTCGCTTGCAGGGTTTTAGGGCATGGCCATATCTTTTTTGGGGAAAGAGGATCTATTCAACCTGCTACAGGTCTACAAAGTAAGCAAGAGCCTGGCCTATGTGGCCCAGTTGGTTGAGCGTGGCCCTGTGCACCAAACGTCACCAGTTGGGTTCCCAGTCAGGGCATATGCCCAGGTTTCGGCTTCCATCCCCAGTCAGGGTACCTGCAGGAGGCAGCAGATGGATCTCTCTCTCTCTCTCTCTCTCTCTTCCTCCCTCCCTCCCTTCGTTCCCCTCCTCCTCCTCTCTCTCTCAAATCAATTTTTAAAAATTACTTTTAAAAAACAGTAAGCAAGAAACATGTATACAGCTTTTCTCGTGCTCCTGCACCGCGTTAACCACTCCCGTGCATTATCTCATCAAACGCTGAAATGCCAGGACCGCTTCTTTCCATTTCACAGATGAGGAAACTGAAGCCGATCCAGGGCTCAACCCGGCATCTGGTCTGATTTCGGAGGATGCACTGTGAGCTCTACACCATTCTGCAGCCTCCCGAGGTCCTGCCGGTCAAGGTCACCGCAGTGCACCACTGCGAGGAGCGCCTTTCCCTCCGCGGCCCGAGCGAGCGAGCCCGGTGAGGTCTCGTCTCCCCAGCACACGCCCCGCCCGGTCCTAGGCTCACGGCTCAATCCGTGGGGTGTGGCCGGCTGACGCACCGCCAACCGGGGTCCCGAGGTCATCGTTTCCTCCCTCCTCCCCTCTGAATCGAAGGAATGAGGCCTTCGCCGCCATCGGGGTATTTGTTTGTTTGCTCCTTGTTCTGTTTTTAAATCTGTGATGCGCCATCAGGACAATCATTTCCGCTTGTGCGGCGGGTGAGGCTCTTGGACAGGTCCCCTCCCAGCCAATGGAGAGCCGCGGATCCGGCAGGGGGCTGTGCTGTTCGGGCAGCCCTGCCCCCACCGGCCCACCCCGCACACAAAAGCAGCGTAATTAACCATCTTACGGAAGCCGAGCCTCTGACGGCTGCGAGCTGGAACGCAGAATATACCCGGGAGTCACGGGCTGCGACGATGACCGGGCACGCCGCTGCCTCCGAGCGCGGGGGAGCCGACAGCTAGCTGCACACCGCTCGCGCCCCGGGACAAAAGCGCCCTCCGCGCCCGCCACGTCGCTCGGGGTGACCTTGCTTGGATGCAGAGTCCGCCCCTGCGCGCATCTTCCTCGGATGCTCTGAGAGCCCGCGGACGGGCTGAGAAGACCGGGGATGCCGGGCTGCAGCCGCGCAGGGCTCGCCTTTGTCTGCGCGTAACCGGGAGAGGCCTCGGAGGGAACCAGCACTCGCCGCGGAGGTGAGTCCACCTTGCTTTCCCCCCACCCTGCTGGGCGGGGGGCCCCAGGCATCTGCTGCTGCAGCCCCCCTTCTGGCTGATAGAGCTGGTGGGGAGCGAGAGCCACGGTCCCGACTCTTTGGGTGGGAACCCATCCGCTTCTCCGTCCGCCGGCGCTCACACCTACTGTTCCCTTCCATGCCTATCGCTCACCTGGAGGCAGAGAACCGCACAATTTTCAGGACGCGTTTGGAGATTAGGCGGCTAAAACCCGCAGCCCCTCTCCGAACGCTTCCTACCAGACCAGAATGCCCACGTCCCCGCTCTGTGCCTTTCCTATTTATAGGCCTGGGAGCGATCCGGCAGAAGGCTTGGAGAGTCTGTACATCAAGGCTTGCCTATGGGGTGGGAGGCAGGGAGGTGGCTGAAGGCAGATTCCTCCTCTCTCTGGTCTTGACTGTGATGCGCTAATAATTCAGCACAGCCGCCCAAAGGAACACTCCCCAGCTCGCCCAGCCTTTGCCTCATTGCCATTCTTCAATGTGAAGTCAGGATGGGAGAGTGGGAGTGGACAGGGCCTACGGGGGCCTACCCACACCCACATGTAGAGGACCTTGGGGCAACATGTGTAGCTCCCAGGTCTGGGCTGTAGGTATGTATGATGGTGGGGGGTGGGGGTGGGATGGTCCCTCCTGGGGGCTGAGGTCACACCCAACTCAGGGTAAGGAAAACTGACGCAAAAGACCACTCCCTTCCGACAGGAAATGAAGTCCCATTGCACTGACCTCTCACTTGCAGTTGGGTTCTGGGTGGTCGTGGTTGCCCATTCGGTCAGGAAGATTTTTATTTATTTTTTTGGTGAGCTGCGTCTCATTGTCCCTTGTCCATGAATGAATGACGACATTCACAGAAGTGGGGAAAGGGTTGGAACTGCAGCCATCCTCTCCTTCCCTGCCTGGCCCTCACCGGTCTCAGGCTCCACCTGGGTCCTCCCGCTCTGAGCCAGGATCCCAAATGCAGACCCTCACCCTTTCCGGGAACCGTGGTCCAGTGCGGGCAGGGCTTGGGATGTCACACCTGAGCTGTTGGCCATGCACCGGCTCCACAGAGGGGCGGCTGGGCAACAGGGAAGGTGAGGGGCTGGCTGGAGGTGAGGGACCTGAGGCACTCGCAAGTGAGGATAACAACACTGGGGCTGTTTGGAGGGTGGGAGAATGGGATGAAGGACACAGCAGGTCCTCTATAATGACAGCCAAAGCCATGCCTGAAATCCTTTCACAAATCTGCGGATGAAAACAGGGTTTCTCAATCTCAGATCTATAGGCAGTGGGAGCCAGATGATAATATCCTGGGCGCTGCAGGGTGTTGAGAATCATCCCTGGCCTCCACCCGTTCAGTCCCAGGAGCAACCCCCCTCCAGTTGTGACAACCAAACATTGCCACGTGTTCCCTGCTGCTGCTGGGGGGCGGGGGCAGGGGGGGGTCAGAATTGCCCCCAGTGGAGAACTGCAGGTTTAAAAGCACAGAACCTATGGTGTTATTTGAGTCCTATGATCCTGGATTGTTATGCCCAGCAGGTATCATAGAGATTATTTCTAGCACAACTCTTTCATTTACAAACAGGGAAACTGAAACCCGGAGAGGTGAATGGCCTGAGAGTCTGCCATACCCCAGGTTATACCCAAATTCAATCTCACTCAGCAGCTGGCTCTGCTCCCAGACAGCCCAGCACTTAAGCCATCATCTAGAGTGCTGTGTCCCCCCATCCCCCACCCCTGTCCTCAGCCAGCTCCTAGAACAAGAAAAACAAAACTGGCATTTTGTGGTTGGTAATCGTTATGATCCTGACTCCTAACCCCAGTCATTTTCCATACTGCCTTCGTTTAGCCCTCAGGTCAGCAAGTTGTCAAGATTTTCTTCTTTGGGGGGGGGGGGGGAGCGGATAAAGGGGCAGTGTAGGTGGCCTGGAGCGGATAGAGATGAGTTGGAGAGATGGGTTGGGGTTGACCAGGTCCTGTTTGAAACTGTCAATCCCAGCAAGGAAGCTTAAGTATATCAGTCATCAACACTTCAGTATAAATGAGTTTAATTGCTTTATGGCTTCCCAGTTGAAGACTAAGATAATTAAAGGGTGATGAGCCCTGGGCCAGGTGGATTTCAGAGCGTGAGATGGAGGGGAGCCTGTAGCTGAAGCCCCAGTCTCTCACCTGGATTCAAACCTCAGACCCACATGGGTGTTCTTAGACCTCTTTGCTTCTGTTTTATCACCTATGAAACGGGAAGCCTCATGAGGCTGGGCAATGATTCAGTAAAACAATGGGTGCCACAGCTCTTTACAGATGGATCTGAAATGCTGAACATGGGTGAGGGGTTGTTATGATGATGATTGTCCAGTAAAACCTCCATCCGTGGCTCTCCTTCAGAACTCATCCCTGCTTCAAGCCACACTTGATCCCATGGGGACAACAGAAGCCACACTCCGGATGGAAAACGTGGATGTGAAGGACGAATGGCAGGATGAAGGTCTTCCCAGGTACAGCTCCCCAGGTCTCTGTGTTAGCCGTGGAGGGCGTTGGCCAGGTCCACAATGAATATTTGCTACATTGTTTAAGATTGATTTCCACCCCACCCCCAACCCCTAAAAAGCTCCCATTTCCACACTATTTTGAGAATTCTAAACATTCTTGCAAACCCATTTCATGGGCTATTATAATAGCCTTACCTGGATTCCCATGAATTGGGTGGTAGTGTATTTTTACCTGTAGCAGTCAGAAGGACTGTGTCATACCCCTGCTTAAACCCCTGGGGCAAATGCCCATCCCACAGGGAATCCGGGGTTCGGCCTCCGCCTGCTTCTTTGAGCTTACTACCATCACTATCTGTCCCCTTCATGCCCCTCTAGCCCCAGTAGCTTCCTTCCAGTTCCTTACCCGTATCTGGCTGCCTCTGACTTTCAGACTTAGCACTGGCTGTTCCTTCTGCCTGGAACACTCTTCCCCAAACACCCATGCCTCCCTCATCTCCTTCAGGTCTCTGCCCACAGGCCACCTGCTCAGAGAGGACCTCCTGGCCCCTTTATTACCCTCTCCCAAGTTTCTGAAGAACGGCACCCAAAGATACCCACATCCTAACACTGAAACCTGAGAATATTCCCTTAATGGCAAAAGGCACTTTGCAAGTGTGATTAGGTTAAGGATCTTAAAATGAGGATATGATCCTGGGTTATCCAGGTGGTCCTTATAAGAGGGAGGAAGAAGGAGACTTGACTATGGAAGTAGGAGCTATGACAGTATGGCGAACCTATGACACGCGTGTCAGAGGTGACACGCGAACTCATTTTTTTGGTTGATTTTTCTTTGTTAAATGGCATTTAAATATATAAAATAAATATCAAAAATATAAGTCTTTGTTTTACTATGGTTGCAAAGCTAAAAAAAATTTCCATATGTGACACGGCACCAGAGTTAAGTTAGGGTTTTTCAAAATGCTGACACGCCGAGCTCAAAAGGCTCACCATCACTGAGCTATGATGACGGAAGTAACAGATGGGAGTCATGGGAGGAAGGGGTCATGAACCAAGGGATGCAAGCACCTCTGGAAACTGGAAAAAGCAGGAAATAGACTCTCCCTTGGAGCCTCCAGAAAAAAACTAGCCCTGCTCACACCTTGCCTTTAGCCCAGTGACACTGATTCATACTTACTCCTGGCCTCTAGCATCATAAGAGAATACACTTGTGTTGGTTTAAGCCACAAAGTTTGTGGTAATTTGTTATAGCTGCTGTAGGAGACCCATACTATCTACTACACTAATTATTTTATATATTTCTCTTTTTTTAAAGTCCATCCCCCCCCCCCAAGGGAACTCTGTGAGAGCAGGGGCCTTTGATCTGACCACTGCTGTATGCTAGCATGAGGACAGAGCCTGGCATACAGTTGGTGCTCAATAGATAGGATGAATGAATGACAGTCACCGGAAGGAATAAAAACAAGTAGGAAGAAAGCCCTGAGCAGCATCCACTGCTCAAAATGCTAGAACCACCAGGCCTCTCTCTCTCCCTCTCTCTCTCTCTCTCTCTCTCTCTCTCGTTTTCTCCTCCAGCGAGGCATTGCTTGCATAACACAAACCATCTTCAGCACAGGCTCCCCTATTTCATTATTTGGATACAACCACTCATCCCCCTCCCCCTTTAATGCAAGGACTTTACCCCCAGGAGATGATGACCAAGAGTTGGTTACATAACCATCTGGGAAGGAACAATGAGACCAAACTTGGTCACCCTGGAAGAGACTTTAAAGAGGTTCTACAGCTCCAGAAATCTGTTGCCAAGGGCTCTGAGGGCAGAAACTAGGCTGGTGAACCACAGGCATGAAAGGGACGCAGGTTTGAGTCCAACATAGAACATGTGGACTCAAATGGCCCGAGATTCGCTGTTTACAACTGGTCCCGTTCAAAAGCTAGACGGGCTTGTGGGAGCGGTCCTGGGCTCCCTCTCGACTGTGTCCAAGTGGAAGCTGCCATGTGGAGGGCGTCAGCCCCAGCTGAATTTGAATTTAGCCCCTCCCGAAGCTAGTCAGTTTCCGTCTATATTTTGCACAGGTGTGTGTGGTGTGTGGTTCTTTATAGCGGGAGGGGCCAGTCCTCAGAAGAGCTGAGATCTCTTCTCTGCTCGGTACCGTCGTCTGGAGCAGTTTGTCTCCAGGAATAGAAGTATTTGGGGTAAGAGATGGCCACTGCATTGGGGCCAGCCTCCTGCCCCTTCACCTTTAGAATGTTCTTTCCTCTCCGCACTCCCTCCTAGAAGGCTTTCTCTTCAACTCTCTAAGGTAGGGAGTGCTGATGCCTGGGGAAGGGGTCTCCAGACACCCGGACTTGGCAGTTTGGGCAAATTAAGGATCGTATTCTAGCAAGGAAGTCCTGATGTAGCTAAAAAGACTCTAGCCCAGCCAGTGTTGCTCAGTGGTTGAGCGTCAACCTATGAACCAGGAGATCACGGATTTGTATTCCCGGTCAGGGCTCGATCCCCAGGGGGAGGCATGCAAGAGGCAGCCGATCCATGATTCTCTCTCATCAATGATGTGCCTCTCTCTCCAGCCCCGGGCGCAGTGGCTCAGTGGTTGAGCATAGACCTATGAACCAGGAGGTCATGATTCGATTCCCTGTCAGGGCACATGCCTGGGTTGTAGGCTCAATCCCCAGTGGGGGTCATGCAGAAAGCAGCCAATTGGTGGTTCTCTCTCATCACTGATGTTTCTCTCTCTCCCTTTCCTTTCCTCTCTGAAATCAATAAAAAAATATATTTTAAAAAATAAAATAGAAAGGCTCCCAAATGGACAGGAAGTGGCTTTGAGAGCAGTCACGTGCTCTAGTAGTGGGAGAGGGATCTGTTTCCTCCCCCGTAACAATAGGATCAGATGGGGTGATTGCAGTAGGTTCCTTCCAGCACCAAATGTCCAGGTTCCGATGGGTCTTCGGTCAGTCTTAGCATCTCTGGCCTCTGCTGAGACCAAAGCACTCCGGGGCCTGGACTTTGAGAACCTTCTGCTTCAAACCCCAACACGCTTGCTCAGCCACCTTGGGCAACTCTTCGAGCATCTTTGCGCCTCAGTTTTCCTATCTGTAAAATAGGGGCAATCATCCCTGGCTCAGGAAGTTGTGAGAACTCAATGAGGTGTGTGGGGCCGGGTGGTTAAGATGGGCTGTCTGAATGATGAAGGCTGCCCAGAGTCATTGTCACCCTCAGTATTGTTCCTCTTAGGTTTTTAAAAAATATATATTTGATTGATTTCAGAGAGGAAGGGAGAGGGGGAGAGAGCGATAGAAACATCCATGATGAGAGAGAATCCATGATTGGCTGCCTCCTGCACACCCCCCGCTGGGGATCAAGCCTGAAACCTGGGCATGTGCCCTGACCAGAAATGGAGGTTCATAGGTCGATGTTCAACCACTGAGCCACACTGGCTAGGCAATTGTTTCTTACTCTTTGCTTGTTGCTATTACTTGATCTTGGGGACCATTATTATTCTTTCTTGCCTCCTCATCTTGGGGACCAGTGTAAACAAAAATAGATATCTAATATAAATGAGTCAGAGTACTTGTTCACATCGCAGGTTAGTGCTCTTCACATAGATGGGTGGTGGTGTTTGAGGTGATGGTTTTGTCACATTGCTTCTTGATTTTCTAGTTTGTCTTGCACACATCACCTGCAATTTCATTGGTAAATACTATGAAAAATATTGAAAGGTATGAAACAAGGACATTGACTTTTTATTTTTTAAAAAATATATATTTGATTGATTTCAGAGAGGAAGGGAGAGGGGGAGAGAGCGATAGAAACATCCATGATGAGAGAGAATCCATGATTGGCTGCCTCCTGCACACCCCCCGCTGGGGATCAAGCCTGAAACCTGGGCATGTGCCCTGACCAGAAATCGAACCATGACCTCCTTGTTCATGGGTCAGTGCTCAGCCACTGAATCATGCCAGCCCGGCTTTTCCTAGTTGTTTGTGTCTTGTTCACTCTAGTACCTTTTCCTGCCGCCCTCCCAATATTTTAAAAGGTAGCCCCTCTCGAAAGTGTTGTGGAGACAAAAATGGGGCTGATGGCGGTTGCAAATGTGAATTTCAAGTAAGTTTCCCGCAGCTGTAGAGGGCCCCTCTCTCTTTTCAGCAGTTCAGGGTTTGCGAGAGAGCGGCCTCGCTGTGCAGCCCTGCGTGGTGAGGGGGCCTTGCCAAGGCTCTGTCTTCCTCATTCTGGAAGAAATGAGTGCAGCTCCTTGATGCTGCGTCCAGCTGCATTTCAACATAAGCACTTCTGTCTGGTGCCAGACAACCCCCCATTCTATTCCTTCCAGCTCAGCGAGCCCTTCCCCGGGGCATCTTCACGCTTCTCGTGCCCACAGCCCCCTCCTGCTGCCATTATCTTGCAGTCTCTTCCTTCACTTCCTGCCCTTCTGCAATTCTTATGGAGTCTGAGGTGAGGGCAGCCTGGGGATTATCTACCTCACTGCCTAGTTTTCTCCTCTAATTCAGTCTAATGATCTGCACCGACCGTACGCCCGGCCCTGGGTGAAGCGCTGAGGACACGTGGAGAACAGGATGGCCGCCTCAGCCCAGCCGGCGAGGCTCTGTGGTTGAGTGTCGAACCAGGAGGTCACAGTTTGATTCCCCATCAGGGCACATGCCCGGGTTGCAGGCTCGATTCCCAGTATGAGGCATGCAGAAGGCAGCCGATCAGTGATTCTCTCTCATCATTGATGTCTCTATCTCTCTCTCTCTTCCTTCCTCTCTGAAATCAATAAAATATATTTTTTTTAAAAAGGCAGCCACCCTCAAAGGGTGCTCACAGTCCGGGGCAGAGACAGGCTGCCCCTTTAACCTTACAACCCACTGAGAAACTGCAGGTGGGTTCTCGGCCCTGGGAGAGGGCCTGGGTGGGGTCTGAGCAGGTAGCGGCTGAGCATTCCAAGCCGAGAGAGCGACACATGTAAAGGCCTTGAGGCCGCAGGAGCAGGATCGGGACTGAAGGGAGGCTG